GCGGGTGGCGGCGGAGCGGGCCGCGCACCGCAACGTGCTGCTGCTGGACGCCGGGGACCAGTACCAGGGCACGGTGTGGTTCTCCCGCTTCAAGGGCCGGGAGGTGGCCCACTTCATGAACCTCCTGCGCTACGATGCCATGGTAAAGCAGGCCGGGGGCGCGGCGAGCTGGTCGGTGGGGGGCTTCCCCACCTTGGGTGCTGGGGCTGTTCCTCTCTTCCCCCCCCGCTGCCGTTTTTTGCATTGCCGCCTCCTTGAGTGCCTAGCCCTGCATCAGAAAAGGCTGTAGGTGACACTAAAATCATGGTCAAAGGTAGCTGGAGGTAAGCAAGAAGAGTAGCAATGCGCTAGGTGATGGGCACCTGGCCAAATGAAGTCGTGAGCTGGCAGCACCACGACCAGCTAGAAACTGGGAGCTGATGCCAAAGCTAGACAGAGGAAAAGGCAGTGTTGTAGTGGAAGAGCTCACCTTGGGAGAGGCAGGGGCTTGGGGCAGTCGAGGGGCTGGACGGGCTTTGTTGGAGAGAGGTCAGCAGAGGCATGGATGCTAGCCCAGCAAAAGCCGGGCGAGGAGCCTGGCCTGTGACAGAGGGGTTAACCCTGGCCAAGGCTCGCAGCCTGCCCTGCTGGCTTGGCTTTGGTCCTGCGGGAAGGGACAGATGGCACATGTTGGCAGTGCTGTTTTGAAGGGTAAGGATTTTTAGTTTTCATCAGTCCCACCCTGGTTGTGTCCAGTCCCACCAAAGCTGTGGTCATGACAGGGTGTAAGGGGCTGTGTGTGAGTAACAGCGCATCTGTGAGGGAGCTCTTTGAGACGGTGCCAGTCCTGCACCTTTACTCTGTCTCTTTTGGTCGTCCGAGTACTGAGAGGAAGGTAGAAGAATTTGAGACTTGAGATTGGTGAATGTCAGTCCGTGTCCTGAAATGTTTTGTCTCAGGGCAATAGCCTATTAATATATAAAGAATTATTGTGGCTTATTTTGCTTGCGTACAGCCCCAGAAAGGAGGAGAGATTAAAGTTATGTTTGAGAGTGACTGCGTATTTATTTCATCCCAATTGACAACTTGAGGGAAAAAATCTTCTGTGCATATCACATCCTCTGTCTTCATCTTTTTTGCTTTCTCTGGAAAGGACTGCACTTTCCCAGGTAAAAATGGCTTCACCCATTTCTTCCCTCTGCCTCAGAACAGCTACGGAAGGGAAAGGGATTCCCCAGTGCCCTCTCCTAGCCTAAACACACTTCATACCAGGTCTGTGAAGGATACTGCTCCCTGTTCACATGGCCTAACGAATGGGTTCCTAATTGTAAAACTAACATTAACAGGGTTTTTCCTCCCGATGGTGACGGGGAGGAGTGTGTGCGTTCAGGACTCATCCTCACCGAGAGCTGGGGAGCACTTTGGGATTCTGCAATGCAGAAATAGCTCATGGTGGTTTTTCCTACCTTTCTTCCCAAAGCTTGCTGCTGGCTGTCATTTCTCAGCCTTGCGTTTGCTGGTTTGACTGGTTCATGGGCAGGCTGGGAGCTTGTACAATTCCTAATTGTATCACAAGAAGAAATTCTTTCAGGCAAAATCGGCAGTGTTGAACTAGTGCTCAGTTGTAGAAACACGTTATGTAGGAAGCATCTGCTGCCTGTTTAAGAGATCCCTTTTTTCATCAGAATAAGACTAAAAAATAATTCCACACTGTACTGGATAGCCAGAGGCTTCTACTGGATGCTAATGCCTCAGGTGAAGTAGTCAACCACTTGCTCTCTGTGGAGGTGCTGCATATTGTAATTTGAATATTGTCAGTGGATAGAAGGGGACAGGATAGACTGAGACGCTACAGACTTCAGCACCTTGCTTTGCTACCAGAGAGCCTGAGGACAGATGACGAGTGTTGGGCAGTGCTGCAGCATCGTTTTTGATTCTTCTGTCTGTGGGCCATGGGGACCATGCAGTGGGGATGGTGGCCGGGGGGCAAAGGGAGTGAGGTAGGAGCCACACTGCAAAAGGGTGAGCTAGTGTTTCTTTAAGTAAAATTTGGGAAGTCACATCCCTGACAGAAGGGGTGGGGATTACTGAAACGGTTAGAAGTGAGATACAGGAGTAGGATTACAAACAGGATGAAGGAGGGAACATGAGTCACAGAAGTTGTTACAGGATGGGGGCAGGAGGCATAGGGCGATTTAGGGCAGCCTGGCAGCATTAGGGGTTTGTTCCACTAATATGACAAATTTCCTTTTTTAGGTTTGCCCTTTTCTCATTTATGCCCATTATCACCTCAAGCCTATTTTGTCTTGTTTAGCTAGGTATTGCCTTCCAAATTTTCTTGGCACTAGCTTTGCTTTTTGGTGTAATTAACACCAAAATCCAAATTAAGTACCGCAAAAGCAGTAATTGGAGGGGTGGTAGAAGTCTTCTAGTTTTACTTTTAAGCTGCGTCCTTCTGTTAATTTGTATCTTGATTTTGAAATATTTTTATCCTGGTTTCTTGTGAAAAGGAGGATTATATGATCACATGCTGTGTGCCTGAATATTTCTGTCTATTCCCCCTTGCGACTTAAACTTATGTTGGCCAATAGATTCAGATTTGGTGAAGGGATATTGCGCAGGTACGGAGTCCTAGAAGCTCTGGGTGTAAGGGTAGTTAGGTAGAATACAGGAACCCAAAATGGTCCACATCCTCCTCCCCAGAGGAGGAGCTGCATCAAAAATAAAACTGCATTATTAGCCACCAGTGATTTCTCATGAACAAGAGACTTCATAACCACCCACACCATGGGAAAAGTTTTGATCAAAGCTGGTATCCTAATGGACATGAAATAATCCAAATGCAAGATACCAAGCCAAGAGAAACAGGATTTCATAAGTAGTTGATTGGGTTGTTTTTTCAGAGTAAGCTAATAGCAGTTACATCCAATTCAAATTCTTATTTCATATGCAACCTTTTTTTTTGGGGGGGGGGGGGGGGGTAGTTGCATATTTAGGAGGAACAGAAGGCATATGCATCAGCCAAAAGGGTGCTCTACTAGTCTGTGGATGTCTTTTCAGAACATCAGTCAGCATCAAAATGTGTTTCCTTAGAATGTTATTCTTTTTTATTATTATTACTTCTTATTTTTTACAGCAAATTAGATTGCAGTTAGAGTACGGTTAGAAATGGAATGTAGTTGGAGTGCATTGTGTGTTCCCAAATTAGGATTTTCTTAAAGGTAATTCTCAGTTCTTTTGGAAAAGCGTTGCAGCAGCATGAAAACAATTTGGCATCTCAATATGCTACCAGGTTCTTGCATATATTGTGCTTCTGCAAAGTTGCTGTCTGTGGAGGTTTTGCTGGCTATTGCCAAACTTGCAGGCACAGGCATGTGGCAACTTAGGCTGAGCATGAAAAAGGGGTGGGTAGGAGAAAGTTCCATGGTCCTTTAAAGTAAATCCATTTTTGACTGCTTAACCAACCTAGAACAACTAAACATTCTCATCTTACTGGTATTACCTTGCTAATAAATAACCTGGACTGCTCATTTTGTGTGATAGTCTTAGCAAGTGACAGTGTTATGCACACACCTGCATGTGTGCGCACACACCTACAATGGATTGTCTATGGAGATTCTCCCTAGTTGATAAACATTAGAGCTTCCACTCATCCCTGACGACTAGGTAATGATATTGATGATGGCTAGAAAATGATATTTTTTTGTTACGTGTTAAAGCACACAAGAACTCTTACTAAATGTGAAGGAAATAGGTTTAAAAACTGTAGTCCAAGCACAAACTCTTAAAATGCATGTTTTATTTAAAGATAACAAATATTGTCATTGGCATTTAACATTTTTTTCAGTATTTTTTTAAAAAATGTATTTTCTGTACACAAAATACATGTTTTCCTTTGTGGTTATTGTTAATCTTCTTTTTTGCAGTTAAAGGATGAAAAACCAGTGGGTTTTAATCCGGTATATGATTACAAACACATATTTAGATAGGTTTTAGATTTCAGCTTTCACATCTGTATTGATATAAGAGAGTCTGAAAAGCAAAAACCTAAACCTGAAAGAAAAAAACATTTCTGTGTTCGTGAGAAACAGGAATATGCTGTTTTAGAGAAGAGAGGGTTTTCTTCCCTAGAACATAGACTTTGTTTTCTCAAACATACCCTGTATATCATTTATGAGAGTATTTAGACTGAATACTGGAGGTAGGGTCTTACATTTTCTTCTTTCTTTTCACAGGCTTTGGGGAACCATGAGTTTGATGAAGGTGTGAGCGGATTATTGGATCCTCTTCTTAAAAATGCTAATTTTACAATCCTGAGTGCAAACATTAAGGGGAAAACCCCATTAGCAAAGGAAATGATGAAATATGTTAATCCTTTTAAAATAGTACATTTTGACTCAGAATCAGTAGGAATTGTTGGCTACACTACAACGGAAACTTCTTTTCTTTCACAGCCAGGTATGTTTTCTTTAGTATATAAGTTTAAATCCTTTGTTACTATTTTATTACTTGCCCACTTTTTTGTATTCAGAGATGAATGTTTTCAGCTGAAAAGTGAGAAGTTTGTTGTTTTATCAGTATTGCTTGTATTACTCAACTTTGTAACTGCCTGATTTCTAAACTGGAGAAGGCTTGTTAACATTAAAAGCCGTTTTCATACAGACATGAATTATTTAGCATCACTGAATTATCTAAGAATATAAGAAGGTCAGTGAGACTGCAGGAGAGTTGGGGGCGCCTTTGGGGTTTTTCCTGTTGTTTGGGTTTCTAAGTTTATATTCTTTTATATTTTATTGTTATTTATCCACTTAAACAAATGTTAAAATGTGAATACAGCTTGTCTCTAGAGTGAAATGTGTTCAAACCAAGACATTTCTGTGTGTGTTGAAATTTTGCTCTTGGATGCCTCCACGCTCAAGTCCTAGTAAAAACAAGAAGAGCTTCATATGTGTTTTTGAAGCAGAAGTTGCCTAAGATGTTTTTAACGTCTCAGATATTTCCAGAAATTAGACTACAGAAGGAACACCCATTCAGCTTTTACCACAATTGCTTCATTCATGAGTAAAATTAGAATTGATGAGGAAAAAGACTTCTCAATTCCTGACTACTTTTTCCAACATTTAAGGGGTTTTGGTTTGTTGATGAGTTTTTTTAGTAAAGTAAAATGGTCTACTGGAATGAGAAACACATTTAAATCAGCTGTAGGAGATCTGAGTCACTGCCGGCTCAAAGCTCAGCCCCCCTCTGACAAAATCAGACTTTCTTCCCTGGTTTCCACATTGAAAAAGGACCTCATATTATTACTTCTCTTTCCATTGCTTAGTAATGAAGAAGTAATACATAGCTTTCTTGAGGAAAGGAATATTCAATACTTTGAGGAAATATTAGAATATAAAACTTCCTTCTGTGCTTTTTAATTCCTATGCCGTATGTGTAAACTGTCAGGAAGTGGACGGCTGAGGTCAGAATAGACTTCTGTATCTCACTTCTATTTTACAGTGATGTGTTTTTGGACTCCTTTCTTTTTTTCCGCCAACGTAAAAGAAAATTGATCTGTGTTTTTTGCAGGCAGTAGAATTTCAGCTGTGCTTGAGGGCATGAGGGTAGATATCATCTGACATCCCGCTAAGTTTGAAAAATGGACAGACAGCCAATCTTGTTCTTCATTAAGGGTTAATAAAATAGATCTCAGCTTTTCTTCCAAACAACTGTGTTGGTGTGGTGAGATCATCAAATTAACTTTCTTGCAAATAAATGTACAGATGGTGTTGGAATGATTCTCTGAAGCATTTAAATGCATTTCCAGTGGCATCTAGACATCATATTGAATGCCTCAGTATGCTGAGACATAACAGCGGCTGCAACTAGAAAACACAGTGTTAAAAGCAAAGTCTTGTTAGCTCCATAGATGGAGCTGAAGCAGCCCTAAGCTAAGTATGTCCCACAGTGTATTTGAGCAACAAGCAGGGCAAATTCTAACAGCAGCATTTATAGTGATCAGAGTTTTTGTCATTTTCCGCTTTGCCTTCCCAATGTGTGGAGGAACATTTGGAAGCTTTGAAAATGTGAATTCAGGATCTGGTAATATAACTCAGTGACTATATATCACCCGTGACTTAGCAGTCCTTCAGACTGATAAAATCGTGGCAGAGGTGGGTTGGTGGCAAAATAATTATCAACCTAATTCCTTAATTCAATGAATAAGATGATACGTTATGATTTTTAAATTCAGCACCTTGCTTATCTGTACACACTTCTTCCAGATGATTCAGTTCTCTCAGACTCTGCAGCAATTGCTGTGGCATGCTGTACACTCTTAGGGCATTCTCAAGGCTTCAAATTAGGAAGCTTGAAAGTGCTGAAACACGTGAATTCCTACATGACTGCTTTCCCTGGAAATCTTCCATGAGTGTGATTTCTTCTATTGTTAAATCTCAATAACTTCCACACAATTATGAAATTACAACTTGTACTTTTCATAGTCTGCTTAAAACAGCTATCAACATACCTGAACAGAGTATAAAGTCCTTAAATCTCAGTGTTTCGATTGTGAAGGAACAATTAATCCCTGCTGAAGGTACTGTTAATGTTACTGTTTGGAAACCACAGGGCTGGGGAACTCTTAGCACAATTTATAGATTACAGCCAATTGGCAGCTTTTCTAAAGTGCTCCTCAGTTTTGCTGTATACAGCTATCTCAGATGAATGCCCAGCCAGTTTTTCCATGTCCTGCAAGAGTTGCTCGTAACTTGGCACATAGACAGAGTTATCCATGTACTTGGTTTGCACTGATAATCCCAAGACCATCTTTCTAGTATTTAATGGTACCAGCTCACTTGCTTTAGTTCTGCAGTGATGTTGTAAACCCACAAAATAGTTAATGTCTTTACATGTCCTGAGAGACACTACATACACATTCGGTGTTGTGAAATAATATCTCATTTTGTCCGCTGTCTTTTTGTATAAGGTGGAAACCCAAAGCTGCTTACGCTGTAACCCTACAGGCAGCAAAATATTTACTAAAACTATCAACTTGGCAGGGTGTTCTAACATCAAATTTTAAATTCCATTTATTCCACTTTATTCTGGCTAGCTTGCATAATGTTTTTAACATGCAGCCAGTTCTTTTTCCTTGTTCGTTTATAGCACAGTTTGGATGTTTTATCTGAAACTCTACCCCAGCTAAAAAGAGAAAAGGATGTCACATGAATTTAATGCCTTGAAAGAGAAGTGAAATACTGACATGAGCAATAACTAACTCTTAAATAAGCACTTCAATTCAGATTGTTTTGAAAAATGCACAGTTGAGAGTATATTGCTTTTTGCCTGGTTTCTTACAGAAATGAGTGCTGTGTAGTTGCTCTTACAGTCCTCCACTGTATAACTTTTGAACCTGCTGGCCCATTTCAGCTCTGTTAGATCCAGTGCTGAGATGACTAGGATAGGAAGCCATGTGAGATGCCACGGCTAGGTTGTGGAGAGGGCGTGCAAGAAGCCCCTGCAGCTCCCAAGCAGGAATCCCTTTCCGAGGGCGAGGTGGGCAGCAGGCCGTTGCTGGGTGGGTGGGTTGGAAGCACCGCTGCCTGCCCCAGCGCCGGTGGCTGCCTGTGCTCTACTCTAACAGTCCCGGGAGAGAGATGGACTTACTGGCATGGGACAGGTCTTGTTTTTCCTCTCATTATGAAAGTAGGTTTGTTTGTTTTATTGTGGATTGAAGATTAATAATAATATGTCTTCAGTGTATGGTGCATTGTAGGCTGCAGTGGTGTAGAGGGGTAACAGAGGTGGTGCTGATGGGGAGAGCTTGGTTATCATGGGCCACCTGGCTGCATGCCATGGGAGAAGTTAGCCTGCAGGCAACTGCAGCTAGCACAGCTAGCCAGTGGCTCGTTCTTGCTCTTCGTTTAGAGAGCTCGGCTCTCTTTACAGAACTGGTCCCCACACCATGGTATGCATGGCTGTTGTAGCTGGTCCATGGGTGGCGAGATGAGTACGTGAAGGGCCTACGCTCAAGGAGAATTTCTCAGACTTCCCCTTTTGCCAGTAGCTCTGCATCAGGCCCAGCTTCTGTCAAGCACAAGGATGTACAAAGAGGGGCTGAAGCTGGTGACTTCCTTCAGCCTGGAGAAGGAAGGCTAAGGGGGAACTAAGTGCAGTCTTCCACTGTCTGAAGGGGGTTTATAGAGAAGATAGGGACAGACTCTTCCCAGAGGGACACAGAGAAAGGACAAGAAACAGTGGGCTCAAGTAGTAGCACAGGAAATTATGGTGGGACGTAAGGAAAAAACTTGGCACAGTAAGAGCAGTTAAGCCATGAAACAGGTTGCCCAGAGAGGCTGTGGAATTTCGGCTTGCTCGGACAAGGCCCTGAGCATCCTCGTCTGGCTTTGAGTTCCTGCTTTGAGCAGGTTTTGGAGTAGGTGGTCCCTTCCAACCTCATTTAACTTACGACTCTGATTCTAAGAAGAGGTCTACAGGAAGAAAATGTGGGGATGCACTGCACAATTCACTCTGCAATGTGCGGCACAGAGATTCCCTCTGGCAATTACAGAACTATTCAGTGGGTGTGGTGGTGAACGAATTTATGTAACCCTCTTTTATCTCTTCCATTGTAGCAGCTTCCTCTTCATTTCCTGAGACATTTTGCACTGGATTGTGAATTCGTTACACTCCTCCCTTTGTTATGAAATAATGTAAATCTTTTGATTTTAAAGGCGTATTTCAAAATAGTTTGATCAAAAAACTCTGCAGGAAGGAGAGGAATTAGGTAGAGGGGGAATTGGTAGAGATGTTCCTCAATTGTCTTCACCGGAAACTTTAGGATTACAGTTTGTTGACTCTGTTCTTAAACTCTATTCTTAAAACTTTGTCGAAGAAATTAGCCTCTTACATAGGAAGTCCTTTTGTGCAACCCAAAACACTGTGCCCAGGATAACAGCGCATGTTTGTCTAGTGCTCTTGTAACTTTTTGTCATGTTAGAATAATTTCAGCAGGCACAAGAAACCTTACTGAAAGATTGTCAGTTTCCCAACATTGTGGTCCCAAAAAGGTTTCTCCTTTCCAGACTTCCATTCTTTATGTTCTCGTTTCAGGATGGTAGCTCAATTGTGTGCTGTGCTGTATTGGTATTACTGAGAGTGGTTCACATTAGGTGAAATAATTTGCGTAAAAAGGCAATTCAGAGTTCAGTGCAGGACTTTGAAGAAGCTGCTGTTTAAAGCCTCAGGGAGAGACGAGGAAGGACGAGATGAGTGTGGAGTAAAAAGAGAGATTTAACTTGGGAGAAGATAGAAGATCTCAAATATAATTTGGGAAGAAAAAAAGCTTTATAGTACAATACAAATGTTTATACTTGAACACTTACTGACATACTTAGTTTCCTTTCTCTAGTTAAATAATAAAAGCCATTCAATTTTTGATCCCACAATTGGCATCACTGGAATTTTTTTATAGAGTTTCGATTTGTTTAGTATAGGCAAGTACATACAGCTCAATGCAGGAATGTTGTATTGAACACGAGCCAACAGTGTGCCCTGGCAGCCAAGAGGGCCAACTGTGTCCTGGGGTGCATCAAGCACTGTATTGCCAGCCGGTCGAGGGAGGTGATTGTCCCGCTCTACTCTGCACTGGTGCAGCCTCATCTTGAGTGCTGTGTGCAGTTTTGGATGCCACAGTACGAAAAGGATACGAAGCTACTAGAGAGTGTCCAGAGGAGAGCCACGAAGATGGTGAAGGGTTTCGGGGGGAAGCCGTACGAGGAGCAGCTGAAGTCACTTGGTCTGTTCAGCCTGGAGAAGAGGAGACTGAGGGGAGACCCCATCGTGGTCTGCAGCTTCCTCACAAGGGAAGGAGGAGGGGCAGCTGCTGATCTCTTCTCCCTGACGACCAATGACAGGACCCGAGGGACCGGCAGGAAGATATGCCAGGGGAGGTTTAGGTGGGACATTAGGGAAAGGTTCTTCACCCAGAGGGTGGTGGAGCACTGGAACTGGCTCCCCCAGGGGGCAGTCACGGCACCAAGCCTGACAATATTCAGGAAGCATTTGGACAACGCCCTCAGACATGGTGTGAATTTTGGGGTTGTCTGATGTAGGGAGAGGAGTTGGACTCGATGATCCTTGTGGGTCCCTTCCAACTCAGGACATTCTATGATTCTATCGTTCTATTAGTCTAAGCACACAGGTGCTCCTGAGAGGCTGGAGAACATCAGATCAGGAGCTTGAACCAACTAAGGGCATTTGAAAGCCACTGACATTCAAAGTTCCATTAATTATACAAAATAGTATCTGATATCAACTACTTTTTTTTTTGTTTTAACTAGTAATTAAGGTACTTTGTAAATGCATTCATGTTCTCTCTCTTTTTTTTTTTTTAAGGTGATGATGTAATCTTTGAAGATGAAATTGAAGCATTGCAAATACAAGTGAATAAACTTACTGCTATGGGAGTGAACAAAATAATTGCTCTAGGACATTCTGGTTTTACTGTGGACAAAACTATTGCCCAAAAAGTGAAAGGAGTGGATGTTGTAATTGGAGGACACACAAACACATTTCTCTATACAGGTATTTTACTTCTTACTAAAATGTTGCTTCTAAAGCAAGGCTGAAACTGTTTCTCTTTAAACTTGGAGAACTTTCACAAATATAGTTTACTGCTGGCTGTACTGGGCCAGATTCACAGCTGGCACCTATCCATAACTTCCATGGAAGAAACTAATTTAAAACAGTCTGTGAGCGAGAAGTGCCCTAACTCACTGAAGGTTCCTTAATGCTGTGGATGTTCAAGATGACCTATACAAAGCGGGACAGAGGAATAAAGATAGTAATACCGGTAAATTACTGCCAAACATATTGTAGCTGTTTCAAGCTCACACGTGTAAAGGAGTAAATAAGATGTTTACATTTAAACTTGTATATGACTTAACCAAAAAAATCAATCGTATAAGACTTCAAAAGTGATACTGATGTTCATTTTCCATAGAATCTTACGCTGTATTCATAGGTCTCCGTTATCCTTGCCATTAAAAAACTTTTCTCAAGTTAACTCTGTCTTTTTCAGTCTTTCTTTTAATCTCTGACTTTATTCTTCTTTTCCCTAGAGGTAGACATCATTCCAGAGATAAACATTGTTGATCTGCTTTCTTCTGCAGCAATGCTACTTTAGGCAAAACCTGCCATCAGCAGCTTCTCCAGTACTGCTGCCTTCCCTGTGCCAGGACACAAGTAAAAGAAAGGCTGGGTTTTTTTAAACCATCAAAGATAGTTCACTAAATTTAGTAGAAACTTCATTAACTGGTTGAGACTATGACAGGAACTTTCTGTAATTTTCAGCAAAATTTCCCTTGTGACGTGATGGCAGAGACAGACAGCACCACATACCCTAGGAACTTAACCACTTAAAGGTTCTGCACTGTCAGTTTCATCCTGTCCTCCTCCTACTCATCTCCTCTCACTTCCTTATGCCTTTTTTGCCTTATCCGGGCTCTCACCTTTTACTGCCCCACTTGTTAAAGAGAAACAATTGCATGCTACAGTTATACATTAAACAATTCAGAATATCTCTTGAATTTGGCCTCAGGGAACAACTTTGATCACTAAGCTGGAGCCACAAAGCATTTGCACACCTACCTACAAGTCACTGCAAACACTTAGCATAGGGGTGCAGCAGAGAAGTGGCCAAACTGGAAGAGACAACAGGACCGTCCATCCCAACGTCTTGTCTCCAAGAGTGACTGAGGGAGAATGTTGAGGGAAGACTCGACAAACCTGTGGAGACACTGTACGCAAATCTGCCCTCGTCTCCCACCAGCTTGCAGCTCAGGGACTTCCCAAGCCAGAAGTGGTGTCTTGGTATTTACCAGCTCCTGCTGGAACTTCTCTTCCCTGAACTTGCCCCATCTCCTCTTGACTGCCTTCAACCTTCACAACAGCCGGTGGCAGGGTGTTCCACTGCTGACCTGCACATCCTGCAGACCTTAGTCTTTTCTCTGTGTGCAGCCTGCTGCCCACTGGTGGCATTTTTCAGCAGTTTTATTGAATTATCTTTGAGATGGGAAAACCAAGGATGCATGCAGTATTCAAAGTGTGCATTCATTGTGGGTTTACACGGTGAAATCCAGATTCTTTTGCACAGGCTTGTTGGTCAATGCCTGTAGAGAGTTTGTGCCTCGAAGCGGTAGCCATAGTAGTCAAAGTGCCTTATTGGGTGTGGTTCAAAGAGGCGCCACTGTTCACAACTTGGAATCGTGATCTGAAGTGCTCCAGGAGTTGAGATATCTGTGTTCATATCCTTTCTAGATCTGTAGGAGTTCACATGCACATCTCTTGTCATCCCAGAGAGTACCCCACTGTCAGACTAGACTAGGTCAAGCTGTTCCATGTCTCCCCATTTGAAGCTGTTCAAGATTCACAAGGCCAGAGAGAGCACGCAGGATGGGACTTCGCAGCCTTCAGGTTAAAGACCTCAGCTGGTAGTAGATTCTGGTCCCTTTTCCAGGGCTGTACTGTTTTGATAAGACAAGTCTGTCTGTCTTTCTTACTTTTTTATTAACACTGGAGAGGTGAGAAAAAATAAGAAGAAATATCTGGGGGAGATACACCAAAAAATATGTATCCACTTATTCAGTCAAAATATGTTTTTTGACAGAATGTGGTCTGAGTCTATAATTTTTATTCCAAGTGCTGAGAAGCACTTGCTCATCTGTCCAGGAGCACCATGAGTGCATTTGTGAACCATTCCCTTCTGAGTCAAAGCCGTCAGCCAACATTCACAATGAAATAGCCACATCTGTGGAGGTGATTTGACTGCAGAGTAAAATCTAATTTTAGGTGTCTGTTTGTGTATGTCTACGTGTACATTAATCCTGTAAGATCTCATTTAAATCAAGAGATGTAATCAATAACTGGCAGCAGAATTTGGGAGAATGTTTCAGCTCAATCTAAGTGAAGATGTACCAGCTGGTCAGCTGAATCTCTGGCTGTCGTGGAAGCTGAGAGACATACTGCCCATGCAGACACCTCCATAGAGATATCTTAATATAATCTTGGACTAGTCCAACCTATCTGACTCTAAGACATTTGCAAATCTCCAGTTTATCCCCAGATTATGTGGCAAATGTTGTCTTGACTTGTTCAGGTGTGCTTTGGATTTGTAGAACTGATTCAAACAGTAATGGCAGTTTTAGGTTAGAGCATTTTGATTTCTGGGTTTCATTAGAAAGGATGTTCGGAGAACATAGTGTGTTGGCTAAAATAAGGTAAGAAAATAGGAAAGTGTTACAGGTTCTTCAGTTACCCAGTATGAATTTGTGCATTTGTAATGAAACAGCATCTCACACTTTGACTGAGATGCGTGCATGAACTCTAGTGCTGTTTCCTTTAGGGATAAGATGTACTGAAATGTCTTTTCATTTCAGAAGGAACACATCTATCTTAAAACGGAATAATGTCGTAGTGATAATTAATCCTGCAAGACAGTATCAGTATCGGAAAGTATTTCTTCAGAAAGCAAGAAATGAATAAGGCTCTGGACAAGCACTTAACCGTGCACAGCTGATGTAAACTAAAATGATAACCAGAAAGCATAACTTTCTCTTGCTAATGCTGTGTTCATTCGAGGAATACACAAGGGCAAGAGTTCAAAACCAATTCCTTTTTCAGTTCCAAAAAACCCCACGCCACTTTTGCATGCATAAATCCTCCAGGGTACTCATTAGCTCCAGGATTTCTTAAATTCTTCCCAAAATAAATATCGAATAGTGAAGAGGCACCACCAAGAAACCAACTCTGTCGGCCGGGCTGAAAGTAGAAGAACTAGTTCTCTGGTAAAGTTGGTTTAGCTTGTAGTTTGTTATAGCCCTGGAGTAGAGGAGGGATTAGAGATAAATATGACTCGTACTGGAGTTCTAGGAGGAACATTTGTCATGCTGCTTATCGCAGGATTTCATATTATGTAAACGACTGTAAGTAAGTGGAAGGAAACCCATTGTTCTGTGAGCAGTGAAAGTGAAGAGCCTGTTTTCCTCTGGATCCATGTCCTCTGTGCCCGCTGCCCTGTCCCCCGGCGCCACCAGCACCCCAGCGCTCGCCGACGTGTGGATGGGAAATGCCGCTGGCTGTGGGGCAGGAGCGAGCAGCAGGCTTTGAGGGGGCTCTGCAGTGGGGCCTCCCATGCAGCACGCGATGCCTCGCAGAGCTGCCTGACCTTGGTCTTTGCTGACGGTGGGCTGGAAATACTGACAGGAATAACAGGGGGGAGTCATACTACTCAGATAATATTGTCAAGGAGACAGGGAGAAGGCTGGTACCCTTGAGAAAAGAACTGTGTTGTGCAATTCTGCTGCTTTCTTCCCCTGTGTGGTTTCTAAATCATGTGGTAGCCTATGCCAATTGAGCTGAGATCTCTTTTCTCTGTAAATGCCTTGCTTTAATCCATCTGTTTCCAAGTCCTACATCTAATCACCCTTCAAACTTTGCAGGTTGATAAGAGTTTTAAATCCATGACCACATAACTCTAATGCTAATGAAGTTTGCTTTTGCAGAGGGTGTGCAGCCTGTCTGAAATTTTGGAGGCTAAGCTTGCTATAGTAAAAAAAAAAAAAAATCAGTTGGGTGTATGCAAAATTCACAGAACTGCTTGTAGGTATTCTAACTGCATATTATCAATAAAAATAGTTAGACTAGTTAGTTAGTTAGACTTCTTCATATCAAGAAATTCTATGTATGTTTTACTAACATTCTCATTTTTTATCATCTGATGCAGAATAATGTAGTGTGAAGGCTTAACAATAAACTTTTCAGCCAGAGACTGGTATGTGTGCGTTACTGAGAAGTTTAGATTGAAATAATTGGAATGAAATGTTCCTTTGTTGCTGTTGTGACATGATGTCATGGAGAAGTGTGCTGTCACAATTTAAAAAACACTGTGGCAGTTATTAGAGCTCATGTCCTGAAAACAACATTGTCTCTTATGGAATAACATAACTGAACAGTCAAATGTGTGCTTGTCATCCAATACATTCATTGTTGTTTCTGCTTAATATCCTATTTGGTTTTTTTTAAGGCTGAGAAACATTTGAAATATTATTCTAATAATTCCTCAAAGTTCACGTGAGCTGAAGACCCACTTTACACGCTTGTTTCATGCAGGTACCCCACCCTCTACTGAACAGCCAGAGGGCCCGTATCCGTTCATGGTTCACTCAGATGATGGGAGGAAGGTGCCAGTTGTACAAGCTTATGCTTATGGAAAATATCTTGGTTACTTAAATGTTACATTTGACAAGAAAGGAAATGTTGTTGAAGCAGTTGGAAACCCCATTCTGCTGGACAGCAGTGTTCCTGAAGGTATGTGGATTAGGTGTTTGAATTTGCCTGCAGCACTCTACTACAATTCAAGCGTTATTATGTTAAATACACAGTACAGTGTCACAGAAGAATTCAGCTTTCTTCCTGATCTTGCAGTTCTCTTTGGTGTAGAGTTCAGGCTGTGTTACAGTTGTACCCATTTGCCTCTATTTCTCTTTCTGAACAGTGGCCTTTGAATATGCACAAATTCAGTGTATTTCAAATCACTGAGAGTCCTTTTGTCGAAACTCAGGTGATACATTACCTTACCATTTAGTAGAGCCCATTTTAGCTAGCCCTGTAATTATGATTTAAAAGATTATGAGGACTAATTTACACTGTTTTGCTGGGGGCTGGGTTCTTCAGAACAGCGTTTAGGGCAATAGAGGAAAGTGGAAATGTTCCAGAAATAAATTGGAATACTCTGGCAATGCACAAATATAATATACAAACCCCACGGCTTCTTGTTTTCAATGCCGAATGTGTTCAATGTGTCAGCTCTGAAACATTTAAAGAACTGGGAGGAGGAGAGTCTCTCTGTTGCTTTCTGCTCGTAACTCTGTCCGAGCTCCGTTACCTGCTTTTTGTCAGCTCTGTAATTACCTGGGGCTGGTTCTCTAGTCTTTGTTTCTTGTACAGGGTTTGCTGTATGAAGCTCTGAGCTTTTACCAGACTTCCTAGGTTCTACCAGAGTATTTATAAAATAAATCCTTTAAAAATCATGTGTTCATAGATAGTCTTATTTACTGTGTTATTCTCAGTGATCTATTAATGTAATGAGATGATGTAAAGAGACTTTACGTTCTCTCTCTGATGTCAGTAAAAGTAAAAATTCAGATACAAAGGTATTCTCATTTCATAAGTGTTGCTGTTGCTGACAGTTACATGGCAAATTGCTTAAAACTAATAGCTGATATAAAACAGTTGTGACATTATCTGTCTGTATACACAAGTATCTTTGTATCTGTTTTTTTTCTGAAAGAATTAGATTTTCTCCTGGCAGACAGATGTGCATAGAGAATTAATTTCTAGAAAGGGTTTATTCCTTGACATTGATGCTTGAGCTAGCATTCCTTTTAACAGTACATTAAAGGGGAAGAAGCTATAATGAGAAAAAAAAAATTATGTCACATAAAGACCAAGCTCACTTATATATTAAAAGTTCTTGTATAGAAGCTCTCATCTGTCAAGGTAGGTGCTGGAAACCCCATTGGGCACAGGTTAGAACAGGACTGGGCAAAAATATTTTTAAGTGTTACGGAGGAGATAACCTTGCTGTGGCACAGGAATAGCTTGTTCACTTGATTGTCCCATCCTGCCTGCTCCCTTTACAGACTTTGTTTGAAGTGAGTGTAGATGTTGTGTTGCTTGAAGAGGCTTAAGGGAAAGTGTAACATTTTAGAATCATGAAGAGTAGGGTTTTTTTCCTAAGCTTTGTATTCACTGAAGTGTCATTAATATGAGATACATGCGATGCTTATTTTACACTTTTATACTACTTTATAGATGAGCACATTAAAGAAGAAGTGGAAAAATGGAGGAAAAACCTGGGGAGTTATTCTAAAGAGATTGGAAAAACTAGTGTTTACCTGAACGGTACAAGCCAAGCGTGCCGTTTCCAAGAATGTAACATGGGAAATTTGCTTTGTGATGCTGTGGTAAGATGTTCCCACCGCAGGTGGCAATCACATCTAAGTGTTACTCCAGAGCTATCAGATGAAATGCTCCCAGGCTCCAAACTTATAAGCACACAGGCTCTGTGCTGCTTTCCAACACCACAACATCTAGTGCGTCCCTAGAAAGATCTGGCAGAAGCAAGGCTATAATGAATCTTGCTGTATCGAATAAGGAGCGGTTTATTCTTTGTGTATATCCTTATATATTGAATGGCTTGTTCACAGCTGTCTCTGAAGCTGCCGTTTTAAGAGACACAGCCATCTGATCTAAGAGCCCATTCCTTAAGCAAGGAGGAGAACTCGGCTCCCCTGCCCCTCTCCCACCCTGCTCACGGCACTTACCTTCTGCCCCATCATTACTCACGGGGCTCTGCTGTCACCCTTTTTTAATGCACTAGCCCAGAAAAAAAATTCTGGGTAGTTTTCTGCTGAGTTATTGATATGAATTGTCCCCTCCGAAGAGTCCAAAAGGTGCCAGCTGAAGCAAAGGAGAAGTAAAGGCCATACACACAGCCCATTGCAGAAGAGGTAAAAGCCCCCAGCACCCCATCCCAGAGGGAGCCCCTGGCCCCTGCCGCATCCGGACAGGTATCGCTGGGCTTTAACAGTCACATAACACCGGAAGGTCTCTTTACGAGAAGTCACTTCCAGTTTTTAAACTAGTTGGTTTTGACTGTTGTACTCTCCCACAGCAGCACCATTTCCTTTGGGTGTTCCAAGGAAAAACGTTCACTAACGTGACTGTTTCCAGAAAATAAGCATTGCCATAAATGTCCTGCAGCATTGCCACAAAGTCAGGAGCCAATTAATCATGAGTTTTCATTTAGGTATGTCACTAAAGCTATTTATTCAGTCCATGTGATTGTTTTTATTGTAATCCTTAAAATAATTCTTAGTTTGTGGGCTAATTTCCAAATTAGATTAAGATTTGGGAATTCTGCATACAGTTCTACTAAAAATGCAATGCCTTTGCAAGTCCTGCTAGACTTTTTAATATTTTTATTTGAAAAATGCAGTCAAATGCTTTGGCACTTTTCAAGCTTAAAGAAAGTAACTCTGTAATCTTACAGAAGTCTGTAGATTTTCTTGCTATACATTTTGTCTTGGGAGGGCAAATTCTGCTTTAGGTAAATGGATGTCTCTAGACAACCATCTGCAGTCATCAGTTGATACATGGATTACCCTTCATGTTCTTTGCCTTACCAGTTCTACGCTTGCTTTCCTGTCTGCTGCCATGCATTCAGGGGTATGAAGGTAAAAACCAGACCTGCCTCTTCCGTAGGCTTTAATATTTAGAGTTGTCGTGGGAAATGTAGAGATTGAGAAATGTGGAAGATAGATATTGATTGATTTGTGCTGGGTCAAAACAGAGGTCCATGTAGTTCAGTGATGCTTCTCCAACAGTAGCCCAAAACCTCAGAATGAAAGGTTGACAGACCCAGACGGCATTTTACAAAGGACTTTAAAGGAACTCAAACGTGAAATGGCTGTGAAATTGCTAACATCAGTGTGTGAGCTCTTGTTTTAAACTGCCTCTATGCTCAGGATTGGAGAGCAGCAAGTGTAGTACCACAATTTAAAAGTACTTCTATAGGGAACTGAGGAATTAGAGATTTGTAATCCTGATATCTGTTCCAGGAAAATCAGTAAATTAGGGGGTATAGTTCAGACTGAAATCAGCAAACAGAAGAAAATCCATTCATTGATTAAGTATGAGTTACGAACTTTAGAGTATCTTATGGATCTGGCTATAGGGAATAACTTTGATCACTAAGCTGGAGCCACAAAGCATTTGCACACCTACCTACAAGTCAGAGGCTGCAAACGCTTAGCATAGGGGTGCAGCAGAGAAGTGGCCAAACTGGAACAGACGACAGGACCGTCCATCCCAACATGTCTCCAAGAGTGACCAAGGGAGGATGGTGAGGGAAGAGCATACACCCGGACAAGCCTCTGGAGACACTGTACTGAAATCTGTCCCCATCTCCCACCAGCTTGCAGCTGAGGGACTTCCCAAGCCAGAAGTGGTGTCTTGGTATTTACCAGCTCCCACTGGAACTTCTCTTCCCTGAACTTGCCCCATCTTCCCTTGAGCCCCTTCAGCCTTGGCAACAGCCGGTGGCAGGGTGTTCATCTTTTGTTTGTGTCCAGCCTGCTGCTCACTGGCTGGGTGCCTGCTGGAGGCCAAGGAGTAGCCCTTGCACTGGAACACTCGGTCCCTGTCCACCCTCTTCACACCACTCATGATTTTATAGGCTTCTCAAATATTTTCCTTCCGTTGTCTCTTTACCAGGTCAGACAGTCAGAACCTACATCATCATTCTACGTTCAGAAGCTTTTCTGTGTCTTTGACCAGCCTTGTCACCCCCCTCTGAATCTTTCTGAGTTTTTTATCATTCTTGAAATAAGAAAACACACTGATTGCTACCCAGCCTCCACATGCCCCTCTTGATTTTGTAGACTTCTGTCATGTCCTTCCTGTATTTCTCTCTTTGTGAGACTGAAGAGTCATAACCACAGTCATTCCTCTACAGAAGTCAGTCCCTCCCTTCCATTACCCTTGTTTCTTTTCTCAGCCTTTTCCTGTTCTACTCAGTTATTTCTGATGATCAACACTGTAGGCTTATCATCCTTATGCTACTGAGTAAATCCCCTGTCTCCATTTTCTTTACTACTTAGGATGTCTCAAGCAAATACTATCTTGTCCTTGCGACTTGCTTTTGTCAGAGTTTTGCTGCTGTTGGAGACACGATGCTGTACGGAGTAGACTTTTGGGTTTCATCTGATTTGCCTGTTCCTCCACTCTTCTACATTTTTCTAGTTTGCCAAGAGCATTCCAAATATTAAAAATCAATCTATCTCAGAGAAGGTGAAAAATACTAATTCCCTAAAACGTGCAACAGGAGCTAGATTAATTTATAAATTCCCCTACATGTTTTTAATGTACAGCTATATTTAAGGGCCTCTTCACTTCCGAATTCTCCAAATACGCTCAAATCATTTGTCTTTATCACAGTGGCTGGAATCAAAAAATCATCCTTCCCTTGTTCAGCTGGCCTGCCCTGGTCATGTCATATAAGCACAGATTATGAGAGAGTCCAAGAGTTCATTACAGAAAAAGGCAACTATTTTTCCTGTTAAAAGTTTAAAAAAAGTGAAATACTGTAATGTTTTTTTGCCTTGTTCTGTAATAATTCAGCATTTGGCAGTGGGGCTGAAGGTAATGTCAAAGAAGACGGGCTGGATGGGGCTCTGAGCAACCTGATCTAGTTGGAGATGTCCCTGCCAGTTGCAGGGGGGGTGGACTAGATGACCTTTAAAGGTCCCTTCCGTCCCAAAGCGTTCTGTGATTCTATGAAGATAGAAAACCTTTCTGTCTCTTTTCTGTCTCAGATTGTATTGGATGTAAATTTCCAGAGCCTAGACTTAAGTGAAGGTTAAAAATCAGTTTAAACATTTTCCTTTGGTAGCTTTACGAGAATGTCGCACATCCGGATAGAAAGTCCTGGAACCATGTTTCAATGTGCATCCTGAATGGAGGTGGGATACGGTCACCCATTGATGAACAGAGCACTAACGGTATGTAAAATTACAAGCTGAACGACAACTTTATCAAGAAGGAAGAATCAAGTTATTATGCAAGCCTGAACCCATTGTTAGGTATGGGCTTGTTTTGATGGGATTTACAGAGTGTTTGGAAGCGATTTCAAACTTTCTCAAATGGTTATTCATCATGAGAACACAACTGCACTCAGGCTGACATTAATAGAAGTTACCAGCATTGTTTGTGCACAGTGCTTCTTATAATTTCCCTCTCTCCTTGCTGCCTTGGAACAAAGACAGACAGTGGATATTCTTCACCTCCTACTGCAGAGGGTCATACGGTATGGTCGCTGGGAGCCTTCTGTAGTCTGCTGTCGAATAAGTGAATTCTAGGGTTTTCTGAATGGTAAGGTTTTACAATTTTTATTTTCCTGATACCACATAAATGAAAACTGAAAACAAACACCTTTTTCAGTTTAGCTAAATATTTCTGTAGGACTACATGAGTAAATCTTAAGCAGTTGGAAAAATTGTCTGACTTGGTAAGAATATCTGTTTATCTTAGGTTGGTGGTTTGTAATCTCTTTTAGTAGCATTATTTGAATAGCAATACATGCAGTTACATCAAACTCAGATTTGTCGGTCTTGATACATGCTGGATGATGAAAACGCAGGTTCTTTGGTTTGGATGTGATCCTCACCTCTACTGGCCCTTATTTTCTCAAATTCTATTTGACACGTTCCTTGTCAAAAAATCTACTGTTAAACAATCCTAAAATAATATTGTAGACTTAAAAAAAAAAAGCTAATGTAAACAAAGTCTCATTCTCCCAGGTAGCATTACTGTGGAAGATTTGCTGACTGTTTTGCCATTTGGAGGTCGTTTTGATTTGGTAAGGGTAAAAGGCTCCACTCTGAAAGAAGCTTTTGAGCACAGTGTGCACAGATACGGAAGAGGAAGCGGAGAGCTGCTGCAGGTTGGAGGTATGCTTTCTTCATTCCTCTTCTCAGTTTTCCAAGCCAGCCATCCCTTCTGTTGGCACTATTTGTATTCCACCTGGAAGTCGCTTTAAGAATGGAAATCAAGTTGGCCATACATCCTACCTCCGTGCCTCACACATCCCAGCTAACTGACACTGTTTATCCTGCGTATGTTTGAGCTGCTGCAGCACGCAGGCCATTGCTGTTCCCTTCAGCAGAGGCAGGATTCCCAGTTAGTTCAGTAACCTGTAATAGCAGCAGTTTAACACTTCAGTTAACTACAGGAAGATATAATTGAGCATAGCTGTAACACAGTAATTGCTACAACAAACTCTTGTTTTCAGTTCTTCACCGGCAGCCTACCTGAAACCCCAGACTGGATGTCTCTGACAGTTATTGCCAAAGTTCAGTTTATCAAAATAATTTTGTACCATTGTCTAATGATTGCTGACAGTTTTAGAGTGAGTCCAAGTGGGTTATGGAACTGCCTCAGTGAATTTGTAAATATTTTAGGGATAAACAGTTAATATTAAAAACATATGCATTTCTTGAATTGCACCTCCCTGTATATTTATCCACATGTGTACTAAGCTACAGTCATGTTTATTCCTGGTCGGAATAAAATCCAGTGTGGATTTTGTTGTTTATTTAGCAGAAAAGCTAAACTTCAAGGGCAGGGGCTGAGGGGTTCCCACCCTCCATGCCTCTCCCGCCACGTAGCCTGGTGATGGGGGCACTTCCCCGCCATGCAGTCTAGAACCCCCACATGCCAAGGACACAACCCACCTCTCGCATGCGAGGCAAGCGCTCCCACAAATTACCACATTCTTGGGTACCACTAAGGTAAAGCAGCAGCAGCAGCAGCCCCTCTGCTTGCTGCCTTCTCACAGAAAAAGAAGATAAGTAGTAGGTCTGGAAAGAGTTCAGGACAGCAGATCCAGAGCAGGAAGCGTGCCAGGGTTGGAAGAGGCTCTGTGCTTTGGACTAGCTTTAAGCGGCTTCCTGATCAGCAAATTCTTGGCAGTGCTGTTCTGGGGGCCTAACTCTCCCCCCAGGCTTTGACTGAGGAAAGCTCACAACTAGAAACATTACTTCTCCTACAGTGAGTAGAAACCGCAACGTTCAGCCCTGGCCTGGCTTTCTTTTTTCAGGACAGTACTTATTATCCATAATAGTTGCTAAGTTAGGGTGGCTGGCTGGCTGGCTTTAAAAGAAGTCACGTCAGCCAAAAAGACAGTGGAATGAGAAAGCATATGACTACAGAAATAAGGAAAGGTATTTTTATCTTGCAGTATCCTAAGCCCAAGACTAGTAATTTCCTTCTGGGGAGTGGTGACAAGAAGAGAACAGATAAGTAACTGAGGTGGGACACTACTTCAGCAATTCTCTAATCTCATGAATTTTCTTGGATGAAAGTTGATTATTGTGCAAAGAAAATAGGGCATTAACTGGTATCACTCAGAACAGTATAACCTCTCAGTCACAGAAGCTGACATAAATAATCTGTTGAAAATAGTGGAGGATGCTGCTTCCAGCACTATGTGTTCAATAGGCACTGCATAAACTGGCATTCAAACGTGTATTTTCGTAGGCATCCATGTGGTCTATGATCTCTCCAGAGACCCAGGAAGCAGAGTTATTAGCCTAGAAGTGCTTTGCACAGCCTGCCGAGTCCCAGCCTACTTCCCGCTCCAGATGGATGAAATATACAATGTGACTCTTCCATCCTATATGTTATTTGGAGGAGATGGCTATCATATGCTGAAAGACAAAAATCTGGGATACAGTAAAGGTAAGTGTGGGCACCAACAGGGTAGCAGACAAACAGTTCCTAAAAGTTAAAAGATCTTTTTATAGTACAAGTCTCAGATTTTCTGCTTTTATTGGATAGATTAAATTTGCTTGTGATCTGACTGCTCTGGATTGCTAGTTTTGGTTCTAGCCAGCAACGACACTCTTTTTCAGTTAACTTACAAAAGTCTCAAAGAGAAAGCGAGCCTCATCAATTCCGCACTGCCTACAGAGCAGTTCTGAGATCATGAAAACCAGAAAAAAGGCAAAAAACACACTATAGAGAGTACATAGTATGTGTACTGCCTTGCATTTGTACTCATTACCAAACAATACATCAAAAAGAAAGCTCTTCAGACTTTCAATTTCTGCTGTATACAAGTATTTGCAAAGACAGAATCGTCACCTCTACTACGAAAGGACATGCAGCTCAGGCAAGCAACACAGAGGGCGAGGGGAAAGATGCTGACTTGCTCTGCAGGAATTGGCCTGCCCCTCCGAAAGCAGTGGGACTCTCACGAGTTCCGCGGGCGGCAGCACGCAGGGGGCTGACAGACGCCACGCTAGGGAGGCAGAAAGGAAGTGTTTTACAACGCTGTCTTAAGATCCGCTAAAGCTGCATGCAAACTGTTAGAAATTCAGCATTCATACAATTGACACGTACATCTTTTAGGACAAAGAGAACCTTGAAAAAATTTGAGATTAAAATCCATTTTTTCTGAAAACACAAGAAGGATGTAGTGCTGTATTTAAAAAAAAAAAAAAAAGAAAGAAAAAGTACCTTCTAGGAGCACATCTACATCTCACAGAACTTTAATTTCATATGTTCTGCTTCCAGATGGTAAAAGCATGCTTCGACCAAAAAAAATTTTCCTTTTGGACCTTCGTTACAGACTATTTTTTTGCTTCTACAGTGTGTTGCAATTTAAAATTGATTCTCACAGGTAGGATCAGTGTTTTAAATCAAATTCAGCCTGCAGCATGTAAATTTGGTGAGGCTGTCATTTTCAGCAAGTATCTGTTTATGCAGAAATAAATTCACATAGGGAGAAATCATTAGGAATAATGAAAGGGAACAACTTGGAAGCTACTGTAAAGTCTTCCAGTATACCAGAGGGCAAAACTATAATTACTTTTAAGACGGAGGAGTTCCACTTCAGGATTGCAAGAGCTTGGCTCAGAAGGGGCTTGTGAGATGGCTGGCAGCAGTGACTGAAGAGGGTCTTCCCCTGTAGAAAATCCACATCGTACTGTGTGTGCACGAAGCAGCACCCAGACAAGAAGTTCTTCCTAATAAAAAAGTGAAGTTAAATTTGAAAAGGTGTAAGCCGTGGCTTTGCCAGATCTAGAGCGCTCTACCCCAAAAAGGTGGGAGACTATCTCAGTCTACCTACACCTGACTGGAAGTCACCATTGTAACAGATGAAAAAACAACAACAACAACAACAACAAAAAAAAAGCCAGCCAATGCAAAAAGAATTCTTTTTTTTGGTAAAATCTGAGTTGCTACCAAAAATTCTGGCTACAAACCACCACAGATGTTTTATCTGTGCCCAAGAAACAACTCTCCACACCCCACGCTGTCCTGATGTGTACCAATTCAGAATGGCAAACAGTTTGCTTTAAGACTTGAGCTAAAACTGCAATTTTAGACAGTTTCTTAAATTTTGGTTCAGAGCTTGGCTGCTGCAGAGAACACTCTACCTTCTGTTTGTTTGTTTGTTTGTTTAGGTGAACCTGATATTGAGGTTGTTTCCCGTTACCTCCAGAGAATGAAGAGAGTTTACCCAGCAGTTGAAGGTCGAATAAAATTTTCTTCTGGAAGTCTTATTGAAGGAAGTCTTACCCTGATTTCTGTGTTGTTCACTGCAGCATTCTTGCACGCCTGATTTTTGCTCACAGTATTTGTGTTTGGAGGAAGGCAAGAGGAGGGATGATGCTGATGAAGGGAAAAGAGAACTGTTTTCTTTTCTTAAAATGGATGAGTGTTTATGTTTCTGCATGTCATCGGTAAACAGCACAAAAAATTGTCTAATCAGGTAGAGCCATTGAAGCACACCGTGCAGAGTGGGCGGGCACAATTCATGACTTCTCTTCGTCTGAATCAGCAGGTACCCACGATTCAGTTTGAGGTTTCAAGAAGCAAAGTTCCAGTGAATACTAATGCTCCATGATGAAACAACCACTCACCGAAATGGGATATTTTTATTTTTTCAAATTCTTTTAGCTGCTTTAGATAGTGAGTTGATTAAGAATCTGATTCCAGTAATGTAAACAAGCTTCTAGAAATAGATTTATTGAAATTATGTACACTTTCCTTCGATCTACACTCAGGGTTAAAGCTTTCAAGCTAATAATTCTACTTTGCTTCCAGTCATATTTATCATACCTACAGCAATGCCTGCAAGAGCTGGATTAAACTCAGCATCATTGAAAGCATGAGGTCCGTTTACATGCAATTAAAAAAAGTTTTTCCATTTTACTTTTGAAGATGCGGCATCTCACTTACGTTTTCCATTAATAAAGGATGCAATGAAAGCTTGATTTGATTTTGATTGATTTTAACAAATTGAGTATATAAAAACTTCACTATTTAACATGACCGGTTTGGGGACTGTATCTAGAGTGAGAATACAACCTAGGATTCTGTTTCATATCAACATGCTCAATTTTACACCTTTTTCCAAAGATGAAAGCCCAGGGCTGCTGAGCGTTGCTCTGTATCAGCACCCTTCCGAGAGAAGGTCGGATACAGGCGTTGACTCCTGCAGCACTGCGGCAGCCCTTGGAAGTTGCCCAGCAATGGGGCTTTTTACAGCATAACCTGGCTTTCTCACGATTGTGATCATAACTCAGAAGCCCGTCTCCTCTAAGGGGAGGCTGTGTTTAAAAAATAATACGTAATTGTAACAGATAGGCTAATGCGTAGAAAATCAGAAATGGGCTTAAATGCCAAGTCTGCATTTCTGACACTATCAAGAAGTGATCGCTTACAAATGAGTGCAAGCAATAAATATTTTTCTAAGATTGTTCACATTTGGAATTTTGACATCGACACGTTTCCATGTTGTTTATTGCTGTATTAAACTGATTCTCAGTGTTTTGAATAAACCCGCTTTGTTTTTCTGGAAAGCGCACTACACTTTTTCAGACCCAAGCTACTCACCTCTTAAATTCACTGCACCTGCAGATCTCAAGGAGAAGGTGCATTAAGCTAAGCATTCGGTACGTTTAAATTTCAAGACCCCATTAGTTTCCACATAAATTGAAGGGTTGTGCACGAGAAGATCTGGACTACACAGCTGCGTTGGGTAAGCTGTGCGAGAACAGGGAGACAAACGGCGACTGACCTCGACACACCACTAGTTATAGCATGGCATTGATGATTTGTCAATACCAGCCCCTGAAGTTATTCGTTTACAGAATCGTCTTCTCCGAACCAAAATAAAACCAGTGACAGAGTGTGCTTACGGACCGAGCTGCACCCGCACGCCAGCTTTTAGAAGAATCGTGACGACTCCTTTGGTGTACCCAGAGAGAACAAACACTTCTACCTTCTTTTGACAAACAGAAGGAAAAGGTATGCAAAAGTAATACAGATCTAATGCAAATTGTACTGACAGAGAACACGAACACTGCGTTGGATTGTTGGGTTTGTCAAAGCAGAAAGCGGCTCTTCCCGGAAAAGAAAAATTGGGGGATGCCTACTAAAATATCTCTGTATTGTTCTGTGAGTAAAACTTGGTAAAAATCCACGCATGAAAGTCCTTTTCAAAGTCTCTTTTATAAAGGCTTGGCCAACAAATTAAGATTTACAGGAAAAATCTTCCACACATTTTTATACTAACAAATTTTTAGAAAATGCTATGAACAGCCCCACATCCTCTTTTCTAAGCCTATAAAGAGGATGTCGGAAAAAAACCTGACAAACCCAGATAAATTGCAGAAAAATAAAGGCTAAGGTAAAAGTCAAAACCACTTTTCACACCCATTATTATTTTAAAAGCACTTTAGATTTGAAGGTCAGATATTAAATAAACTAAACTACGCACATGATTTTCCATGCTCAGGGACAGCATGAAGGCCAAAGATAGTTCTGAGATTACTTGTATGCAGTAGATTCAATCATGTAATTTTGTTTTAAAAAAAATCAGTAAGATTTGTTAAGACAGTTAAAAATAACTTCATGGGACCATTCTACAACTTCTTCCAAACAACTTTTCTACATATCCTTTAAGGAAGACAACAGTAATTGCTCTTTTAGCAAAGCATACGTTGGCTGGTCGCCCAGCTGTCTTATTTTATGTCATCCTGGAGTTCCACATGCAGAGATTTGGGGGAAATTAATTTGACTTTTCCTGGGAACAGCTAAAATTTTAAATAAAAAGTAGAGATATATTATTTACTTGTAACTGGTATTAAATTTTAATGTCTTTATTGCATAAAGAGGTTTTTTAGAACTTAAACTTTATGTTATTTACAAGAAAATATACAGTGGAAGGTTAAAATGTCCCATGTCCGTTACAGCAGGTGTTGCTACTGGGTGTCCGGCAAGGTCCCTGCATTCACATCCAACATGACACAGCGCTAGCTTCCTTCGGACCCTGTCAGACAGTAATGGAGAAAAAAAATTACTTATTAAGTATGAAAATGCATATTTACATGTAAAGGACTGAACTGAGCTGCAATGATTAATGGTATTTGAAAACACCCACTTGAAACCAGAGTTAAGAGAGAGGAAGGCTACTGCTTTCCAGTTTTTAATACTATTTCTCAAAACAGGTATTTTATTCTTTCTCTGTAAGTTCTCGCCTCCCCCATTCCTAACTGCTAAACACAATTTTCTTAACACAGCAACTTTCTGCTCTGGAAATGGCACTGGCGTGATATTTTTGCAACTGGATTTCTTTCCTTCCTCTGCTAGGAATGCTTCTCCTCTCTCCGCTGTCCCTTTTCCTTGTATCCTGTCTCACAGACCTCCAAGGGACTGGCTGTACGCTGCATCAAAGGCAAAACTCATACATTAGGTGTTTTTCAGCTCTTATCCTTAGAACTTGTTCACTTACACATGCTGCCATTTAACACAGCGTATCCGAAGTGATCCAGTATATACCCACATTGGTACGTGGAGCAGGATAGACCTTCAAGAGATCGGATCTCAAGAGTGGGAAGCAGACTGACATTCCCGCTAACGAAACTCTTCCCATTTCTCCCATCACTGTTTCCCCTGCTGAAGGAGCAGTGCTCAAAGCAAAGCTTCCTGGATGCTCAGTTTTCCCTTTAAAAGCTGAGCGACCCGAAATATTTTTCTGTTCTTCACTGTACCTACAAAGACATTTTGGTACCAAGCAACTCAAAAGGGACCAGTCTCTTTTTCTTTCACAGTGAAAAAGTGTTTTCTGATGTTCAGGGGGAACCTCCTGTGTTTCAGTTTGTGCCCATGGCCTCTGGTCCTGTCACTGGGCATCACTGGAAAGAAGTTGGCTCTGTCCTCTTTGCACCCTCCCTTCACGTGTTTCTATACATTAATAAGATCCTCTGGGCCTTCTCTTTTCTAGGCTGAACACTCCCAGCTCTCTCAGCCTCTCCTCATCGGAGAGATGCTCCAGTCCCTTCATCGCCTTCACGGCCCTTTACTGGACTCTCTCCAGTATGCCCGTGTCTCTCTTGTGCTGGGGAGCCCAGACGTGGACACAGCGCTCCAAACTCACTAGCAGCTTGAAGAATTCTGCGGCTCTTGAACAGAGTTAGCACATACCTTACTCAGCTCTGGAAAGAGTTCTTGAATCCCAATGTCCAGCAGAACATAAGTTAACTAAAAGAAAATGAAGAAAATTAAGAACACTCCGAGGCAACATGACTGCTTTTGATTTTTGACTCTGAAGTAGAGCTCACTCCTCTGCTACAGCCATACCTTCACTTCAGGAAACCCTGGGCCAAAAGGCACGTTCCTCACGCGTTGCAAGTTACCTGTTTGTTGAGCACTGGTTGCTGCATTCCATCAAACAGAAGCCTGATGCCTTCGTATTTCGCCTCTTCCCCAATGCACTTGCCTATTAAATCTAGACCAGATACCAACAACAAATATACAAGTCATTAGGAAGCACTGCAAAACAGCTATATGATACACTTATAGAACTCCAGTAATTAAAAAAAAAGTTTAAAGAGTTCAAATTTTATCCACCCAAAGTGGTAAATGGAAAAACAAAGACTCCTTTGGTTCCTCCTTTTTTCGCCCCTTTCCTTCAGGGCTGCACACCTAAGTAATTATTACGCTTTTTTATAATATCAATGTACTGTCCTAATGTATTTTTTAATAAACCACAAGCTGAAATTTTTTAATTACTTTCTGAATAACCTAGCAAATGGGCCCCTCTTCCCTACTTTATACAGTGTAAGGAGAGCTCAGATTTATCTCCTGGCTTCATGGTGTGGCTTTTTTAACCCAGTTTTCATCTGGATAACACACAAACCATAGGAGCATTCTAAAGATGAAGAAATTACGGTCTTAAGTACATGGCTAAAACTCTTCCTTTCCGTCATGTCTTTATTAATCACTATGCTACAACCTTAGTCAGCAACACTTCAGTGATGAAACTCCTGGGTACTTACACCTAGTACTCTAGTCAACTCAAATCTCGGCAGCGTAAGTAGTATTGGATTTGGAAAGCTAATGTGACTGTATTTGGGCTATATATCTGCTTGACCAATTAACCATACTCATATAGAGAGTCACGAAATACAGAACCTGGCATGTATCTCATCATTTCTTCAAAAGTCTGCTTTGCTCGCTTCTGTTTATCCTGGAGAGAGCGAGGTTCGGTATTCTCACAGAACACGGCATCTGCAGCAAAGACACATTGAAAAGAAGTCTTTAGGCATCTACGTA